CTCCACCCTGACTGGCTCGTCTCCACCCTGTGACCCTTCTGTAAGGCGATGCCCAGATGGCCTACACATGGGCTTTGGGTCCTCCCTCATTCACAATGATAACATTTTTCTTTGATGCCTGATACCTGATTCTATCGACACCTCGTGCTCACACAGGCTGGTGTGCTTCTCAACTAGATGGCCACTTGTTTATCTTCAAGCCTTTAAGACCCTAGACACTATATCTTTTGATAGCCTGGCACCATCAGCTTTCTTCACCACATTTGGTTAAATACCTGCTTTTGTCTTCAGTGATCCTGTCAGGAAGGTGAGCATTAAGGAATGCCAATTTAATAGAACACAGTATTCTTGCATTGAAGGAGTACTTGAGTGGAGTCCCAATGTCCATCTGCTTCCTTAATACTAAACCTTTAAATATATGCACATAGATATATTTCCCCATTGTCATATAAAAATATGTTTACATGTGTACATGTCTGTATTTAGACCTCTATAAATGCCCTTTGTCTCCCATTTCTTTCCTCTATTTCCTATTACTTACCTCTTGTCCCACTATCATGCTCAGCCTTCATCTGTGTTTCAGTAATTCCTCTCAGGTACATTGCCCTTGATCAATCCCTACCAAGAGACTGCCCTTTCTTATAATAGGGAAAAGAACCTGTGAAGGTTGGTGGATTAAATAAGCTCTGAAATCCAAACTCTATTAATAGTTCTTACTCCATTTCAAGTTATGAGTATGGTATTAAATTAGATTACCTCTGTGCGTCGATCTTAACATTCCTATCTTAACCCTTTTATAACCTGTGGGATACATAATGTCCACCTATGTTTTCCCCTTCTTGGTTTTACTGAGAAGGTGATATCCTACTTTTCATGCTTTAACTGCATTAATCTGAAGAAACATGCCGCATCCCCACGTCCCAGCATGTCTCCTTGGGACACATGTGTCCCATTAATTGTATCAAAATTCATATTACCCCCCAAAAATGTTTCCCATTTCATTGAAAATACCTCCCATTACTGAAAACATGGTTCAACAGGAGATTCAAAGCGAAGACAATTCAATCTTGAAAGGGTGAGAAGATCTTTACGTTATTTCTAGTTCCTGCACTCTAACTCATAGCCACTATGTGACCAAATAAATCCCGTATCTGCATTTGCAAAGGATCGAAGGCATTCATTGGTATGGCATTAGTGGAGTCTGAAGACTACAATTAGGTTCTATAAAAAGGAAGAAAAATAGAAAAGTGATTTGGAGCTTTTCGGTTTGTTTATTTGCTATGAAGTGGACATTTTAGCCAGGAACTAAATTATTGTCTGCTACCTGCCTACCTATTAAGGAATAAGATTAAGGCACAGAAAAATATTTCAAATCGTCTACTAATTGTACTGGTATGTTTGATTGACATGTTCTAAAAGCCACCTTAGAGGTGAATTTAATTTTGAGAGTGTAGTATGCAATGTGTAGGAGAAAGTGCTGTACAACTGAACTACCAAGGCTCATAAGCCAACCGCAACACTTACTGGCCACATGACTTTGGACACCTTGCTTTACTTCTTTTGGGTGGTTGATAGGAGAATTTAGTGAATTAATATTTATAAAATTGTCAGAACAAAAAATTATTAGAACAGTATCACTTAATAAACACTCAAAAACTGTTAATTAACAAAAAGTGATGTCAAATCCTATGGCTGAACAAGCAAGATATGGCAGTCTGGGATTAGGAATGAGGTGTGTGTTGGGGTGGTAGGGAGTAAGTCTTTGTGAGCCTGTAATGGAACCAGAGAATTTAGAAGCGGGGTACTTTACAGCGAATATGTGGTGTGCTTTGGCATCCCAGGATTGTGTACCTTGTAAGTAAAACCATTTGAGTAAGAAGACAATTTACCCTAAGAGGGAATATAATCCTTTAACTTTTTCTTCCAAGTGGGCATGAAGCATATATATTTTTAATAAATTGTTTTATTGGGGGGCTCCTACAGCTCTTATAGCAATACATACTATCAGTTGTATCAAGCATATTTATATGTTGTCATCATCATTTTCAAAGCATTTTCTTTCTATTTGAGCCCTTGGTTTAGTTCCTCTTCCCACACCCCACCCCCCACCCAATGAACCCTTGATAAAATAGAAATTATTGTTTTCATATCTTATACCTCTGCTGTCTCTCTTCACCCACGTTTCTGCTGTTCATGCCCCTGGGGAGTGCGGAAGGTGGTTATGCATTGATCCTTGCCATTGGTTCCCCCTTTCTCCCCCTTCTACCCCAACTATCCCCTTACTCTCATGGTATTGCTATTCCTATTATTGTTCAT